GGAGAGAGAGAGAGAGAATAGCGCTCTCTAACTTAGGATAAAAAGAATCAAAAGTGTGCTTTTCTTATGCTCACGAGAGTATTAATATTGTTCAGTGCGCGCGGTCAACTATAAAATTTCTTGTAATATTTAAGAAACGCATTTTTGTTTATCTAATCAATAATATATTCTCTAAATTTTTTGGAAATTTCACTCCAAGAGAGTGAAGATGCAGCCATATTTTTTGGAGAAGAGTAAAAATATTTCACAAAGATGATTGACAATTTTCATTCTTTTTGATACAAGATTTTATTTATCAAAAATCATTTATTTTCATTATTACAATTTTTTGCGTACAATGGTCCCCGATTAAAAACGCAATTTTCCATTAGAAACAAAAATGCAACGCACATTATTTGAAACTAGGTCGAAACCAAAATTGAGAATGCATATATTCCTAGCAATGTAGCAACACTGCAATTTATAAAGTGATACAATAGCATTGTTAAACTAAATAGAATAATCCGCTTTCACCAAAAATTGAAAACTTTTATTACACTTACAATCATCTAATTTTACATTTATAGTTTTATACTATTGTTTAAAATTTCATAAATAATAATGTATAAAAAATATTTGAATTGCAAAAAACAATATATATGGTTACGAGCCATTTAAAAAAAAAATAATTAAAGTTTTAAAAACACCGTATTATATAGTTCTATTCGTACATCACTGTTATACGTAACGTTAATATCAGACTAACTTGCAATTTTATGGATTCACGTATGATTTTTTTAAATAAAATTATTTAATCCGTAAATGGAAACGTGATTTGTTGACTCACCCCGCTTTACGTCCCGCCACGTGTTCGTGATTTCGCCGAATCTGCCCAGTCCGTTTGGTGTCCGTCCATATATTCCTCTCACATCGTTCAGAGGTTCGGTTTTTCTCGACCCTACAACAATAACAATTGTCAATTTTTATTGACATGCGTCCATAATCATCTATTTTTTACAGTATTATTTATATAATATCTTAATTAAAACCTTTGAGGATTTATAATTAAATTGTAACAAAAAGAAATTTTCTTTCAAATATAAAATGCAGGATATAATTAAGCACTGTACGTGCGCGAATACGAAGAAAACATGGTTAAATTTAGAATTTGCAAAATTTATATATGAGTTGACCTCAGCGATTAATTCTTTAAAGTCTGATTTTTTTTTAATACAACGTACATTAT